TTTCGCTCTTCTTGGAAATAAACTAGAGGATTCTCTAAAGCGTGATAGGACGATGATTTGGCAGAGTTGGCGAGGAAGCTAAGCTATATTTTCATGATGGGGATGATCAATGATGAGTCTGATGACTAATGAGTTTCGATGTCAGACGGGCTTGTAATTGTAACCTTCGAAGAGGATATGGTGAATCTCATGGAGGAATATGATCGATCGGACAATATGTTCGACAAATGAAATAAAATCACTATTTGTGGGTCAAGCACTGTCTGTGAGATTATACTCAGGAGTTTCAAACATCTTGTTACGAAATTGACTTATTACTATAGATCAAAATACCACATTCAGATCACTGGGTTTTCACTCTTGGATTCTATTGGCTTATTTCTTTGATACTCATATAGTATTGTGTATTGGCATATCTTTCGATTAATTTCAAGAAATTTAAATTATTTGTTTCAATCAGATTATTGAGTACTAAAGTTTCGCCTCTGTGTATATAATTGCATTTTTTCTCTAACATTTCAAGTTTTCTGTCACCACAAGTGAATCAGCTAAAAGCCTAAAACCCTCTTACATGAGATCTCTCACATATTTTAGTGTATAAGAGCAGGAGTGTCCACTGATCTCTTTCTTTACATTTTTGATTGAGCAATATATGGTGGCCCCCAAACAAAAGCATGAAACGGCAAGGTTCTACAGATAAAGGGCGTAACTGGTAAACTGGAAGTTAGGGTTTTGGTCAATGTTAGTAACAATCTCTATGACCAGTACGTACTGATGACTAACGTTTGTGTAATCTCTTGACTTATAATGGATTCTACTTTCTGTATTGGCTCACATCTGTTGCGGTAAAAACCTTTTTGTGATAGTTTCAAAGTCTTAGATAAAGTTTTCTTGGTGTAGTTTCATGTGACAACCAACAAATGTATTATATTGGGTTTCAGGTTTCTATTTTCTTCTTCCTCAACTACTAAAGAAAATTCTATAAAACAATTTAGGGTGCGTAACAACCAAATATATAAGTCGAGCCATTATTTTTGTATTAGATTTGGGATGGATAGAATAGGTGAATCTGCGAGTCATAGCCAGAGATTTTATTCTAACTAATATTCTAGTGGTTTGTCACCAAGTAATTATATTTTCGGAAATGGTGTCCAAAGCATATTTTCTTCTACAATTATTTGTTACACATCTTGTTACTTCTACCTACTTTCCTTTGATACCAAAAAAATATTCCCTCCGTTCGTTTCACAAAGAGTGTCGTTCTGACATTTTTTTTTGTTTCAAAAAGAATGTCGTTTTAGAATTCCAATGTAAATTTTGACATAAAATACCATTTTTAACCTCAAAAATAAATTCAGAAAATTAGTTATAAATGTAATTCCAAAAGTCATTTCTGCAAATTAATAAAGGTATAAGAGACATTTTATCTTATTTCTTAATTTGTGTAAGAATGTCAGAACGACACTCTTTGTGAAACGGAGGGAATAAATTTTTATGGCCAAATCCTTAATTTTAAACTTGTCACAAGATACATTAAAATAATGAGGTCATTTAAACCAATGAATTCAATGGAATGTGAGTTGTGTGATTCAGGTCTCACTAGTGTGGGACGCTTCAATGAATAAAATAGAGATAAATGTCTGATGGACCATCTAGCTACTGCTTTTACGCAAATTCATTTTCTAAAACCTTGATAAATCACCTGAACTCACTTGGATGAGCAAAGCGTTCGTAACCTGCGCGAGTGTAGTTAATGAAGATTTGTGACTATATCGAATCTTGACAATTTATGCATATTTAACTTCTTGATTACCTGAGGAAGTTTAGTGACTTAGGTTGTTTAGGTATAGTAATTGGCGCTGCAGAAATATGTCAATATTTCAGTCGTGATTCGAGTTCCAGAATATATCTATTGAGATTTCTTGTTAATTTATCTGATTTAATCGTTCTATAATATTCCCTGTGAATTCTCTGGCGCCCAACGCAATCTCTATTGATACTTACAAAGTTATTTACTTGCTTTAAGTTTATTCACTTGCAATTTAATGATCACCACACAAACAATTTCTATTTTCGCTTTTGCTTGATTCATCTCTCATAATTCGTAGTGTTACAATTTCTGGGTCTCTAGTGGATTTGACTTCTAAATATTATTGTGATTATTGTGGTCTTGCAGCTTATATCTAGGGTCAAAACTCTGAAATATCAAAGACAACCATAGTTTTAATTATGTATGAAAATTGTTTTTTGTTTAACACCTTTACATATGATCGACGTTCATATTGCATGATAATTTTCTATTTCAGATTGTGAGAGAAGAATAAGAAAATGGATAGCACATGGACATGAAGATAAATCTTTATTACTATTTTCTCTTTTGCTATGTAAACTATTAAACTTTGTGCTATTTGAATGCTACTTGAATGTTTTTTTAATTTTTGCTATTTGTAAATTCTGCTATGATAATACATTTTAGTTATCTATGTTATCTTATTATAATTTTAAAAAATTAAAAACTTTTTTTAAAAAAGAAATGAAACCGGATATCCGGTCGGATATCCGTAAATATTCGGTTCAAACCGGATATCCAGAGTTTTTGGATCCGGATCCACATAGGAAAATTGATTATCCGGCGGATCCGGATACTTTGAAAAGTCCGGTTATCCGGCTCCGTTCCAAGCCTAGTTTTTACAACACTCTTCTTAGGGGGTATAGATGGTGTTTACACCAAAGCAGTGGCATGCTTTCATAGTATATTTGAGGAATTCGTAAAAATTAAAGAAGGAAGTTAGCCTGAAATGCTCGTGCCTACCTTAATGATATTGGATATATAAACATGTGCCTCTGGTTTGCATTCCTGAACTGTCCTAGATATTTATACTGTTGACAAAAAAAATAAAACATATCAACTAATATTTTAGATTTCAAAAAGTTTAGAACAATATAATAAATAAATTATAAAAAATAAAATTATAATTTCAAAAGATATCTTTTCAAACCTTTCATCACAATTTTTTTTTATGTGTCAACATCAAAAGCATGATAGATCTGACCCAAGAGCTCTCATTAAGTCTATTTAAATTTAATGATTACTCCAATACAAATTAATATCAATGAAAATAAACAAACACAATTATTAGAATAAACTAATAAAATCACCATTAGTCTTTAAATGATTTATAGATATGTTCTGGTAATCATACAAATATATAAATTACACAAATTTTTCATATCTTTTGGAGAGATGTTATGATTATCTTCCAAAGATTCAAATTCCACAAATTGATTATCTGTTTCAGAAAAATACTTCTAACAATAGTGACATATAAAATTTATGTGACTGGTGTAGCTATCGCCAATAACATGTTGAACGGTCTACAGTCTCTCTCCAATATAGCATACAGTTATCGATGCACACATCTATCATCTGATACAGCAATCCAAGACCACAAACAAGTTTCTCTATTTCATAATATGATGCTGGTGCAAGATTATTTTCCAGCAAAATGTCTTTCACAAAATCAGCTATTGCATCCACACATTCCTCGCTCAAATTAAAATCCATCTTTATACCCATCATCCTAGTTGCAGCTGATAAAGGGGAATGTCCATCTCTACAACCAGCATAAACGGATTTTTAGCAGCATCCAACATATCAAAGAACCTATGTGCTTCTAAATTAGGTTTAATTTATTTGCATACTCCGCAGTTGATGGTATAATTTCACAAAATGCATCATTCAGCATCTGAACGTGACCAACGTTCCCATCTCAACATGACCTACATCTTCTACTTCTATTGCAGGTTCTTCTAAACTATCCCCGATATATTGTTCATTAGTACTAGCATAATTAACCATTGAATCATTTTCTCCATGATAGTACCAAATTTTGTAACCCGGTACGAACCCATTACAATACAGTTGTGACCATACTTTGTCTATTATGACTGATCTACGATTCCGACAATTAGTACATGGACAATATATTTTACCAGATTTTTTGGCTTTTTTTTTGCATACTCGCAAATGCCATGAATTGTTGTATGCCTTGTTTGTATTCTTCTGTAATAAGACCCGTATCTTGAATTTGATCAGGCTTATCCATCCATGATCGAATATTATTAGAAGAAACTGAAGAAGACACTACAGATAGATTTTTTTCTATCTGTGTTCAAAAACATGGGCACTTAGGCAATTAAACAAATTGATTTAATATCAATTTTAATCAATTAAAAATATTAATTTTTAAAATGTTAACCAAGCCTTTGGGCATTTGGAAAGCTCACTTGATAATTTATTTGAGCAAGTGTGAATATTTATACAGTAGAAACTCTATAAATTAATACTCGATAAATTAATAAACACTATAAATTAATAAATTTTCCCGGTCCCAAGTTGGCCAGTTCAAAATTTAATACAAATCGATAAGATAATAAGATAATAATTCTAAGAAAACTCCTATGTAAATATATAGTCCTCTTAAAATCATAAATTAATAATTATAGATAAAAACTTTTTTATATATGTATATAACTAAGATAATCTACTAAAATATGAATCTAGTGTTGCTTGTTTTTTCTTACAAATAAAATCTTTTTGGAGTTCATCTCTAATTTTTCTCATTGCTTCAAAAACTTATGGTGTTGTCTTCTCGAACTGCATCCGAAAATTGTGAAGAGTCCTAGACGCGATAATTGCTTCTTTACGCGTAACTACTTCCACAGGTATCATATCATCTTCAACTTCATCATCAGCATTGAGAATAGTGGCCCCAATTTCTTCTAAACTCTGAACTTCTGAACATGTATCATTCTCACCAGGATAATCAAGTAGACTATTGACATCCATTCTATTACGATAGCTGAGATTATTAATCACAGCATCAAGTTCATGCACGTCTAATTCACAAGTGGAGTCATCTTCTAAAGTATCTGATGTGGCATCTGATGAACGAATTTTGCAGTGTTTAAAGCAATTTTCTATTGTCCTTTGCTTGACATCAACATTCCAAGCCGCTACTGCAAAATTGATAGCATCCAATTTTACTTGGATCAGATTGTCCCAACTCATAGCCTTCTAATATATGACGGTAAAGTCTTCTACGATAATGCATCTTAAAATCTCTTATTATTCCTGCATCACAAGGTTGAATTTTTGATGTCATGTTGGGTGGCAAGAAGAACAGATCAATATTTTGTAGTCCTTCAATATTTTTTGGATGTGCTGGACAATTATTTATCACAGACAAAACTTTTCTACCATGCATCTTCTTATCAAACCAGCGGATATACTCTTTAAAAATCACACTAGTCATTAAAGCTCTTTTGTTGGAACGGTAGTGACAATCCAAACCAGTCATGTTTATATTCTTGAAACAGCGTGGTTTTGCATATTTTCCAATAATCCATAAGGGAATTTTTTCAGAGCCATCTTCATTGCAGCAAATAACAATTGTTAGCCTTTCTTTGTCTTGCTTTTTTCCTTCAAGCTGTTTTGTAGCGAGAGAATGATCAGCTTGTAACCTATAAAACAAACCAGTTTCATCCATATTAAAAACATCTTTCTTGGGGAAGCTATCTATTTTTTCCCTTATAGCCTCCAATTTCTTCACCATGTCTTGTATGTCAATTGAACCACTCTCTCCAAAACGACGAAAGGATCTGGTACCATGTCGTAACTTAAACTTTCCAAGCCAACCTGGAGAAAGTTGATGAGCTTCTTCTTGAGGGTATACAAGTTTCATTGTTTCTCTTGCCTTCTCCAAAATTAACTCGCCTGTCATATTCACTCGCTCTTGATATTGGAGAAACCACTCAAAAACTACTTTCTCCATGTCTGGAAATTTTGCTGGTTTGTGTCGTTTGATATCTCTTCCTCCTTCTAGGTCGACTGAAAGATAATCCGCTGATCGTTTGAGTGTGTTTGAGATTGTACCTTGACTAATTTTTAAATTAAACTTTTCCTTAAGCCACGACTGCAAATCCTAGTGCATGCAGGATGATCTCTCTTGTACTCACATAATTTTTTGCGAATTTTATCTGTCATAGTTGATTTTGGAACATTTTTTAGATGAGGAGGCATTGTAAACGAAAAGAAGAAGAGCAAAACGTATTTTTTAGTAAAGCATATCAATGAACGTGAAAGTAAAAATAGTGGGTCTCTTAGCTATGCACAAAATACAGTAATATGGAAATATAAAGAAAAAAGGAATTAAAACAATATGGAATATAAGAAAATATGTAAACTATAAAAAAAATCAAGAAAAACATACAATGAAAGGAAATTTTCGTTCACAAATAAATGGAAATTTTTAAAGACTATGAATTTAAAAAATAAATAAATAATTTTTATAATTTTTAGTCAAAATCTATAAATTAATAACTCTATAAATTAATAAAATATTAAAGTTCCAACATTATTAATTTATAGAGTTTTACTGTAGATCACTTTAGTTATCTTTCTCCTTTTTGCCAGCCGATGTGGGATAAATGTAACATAATTGTCAGATATCCGTCGGAATTCCATCAGAATTAGTCTGACGAAAACTGTCGTCGGAAAGTCCTCAGAATTTTCCGACCGAACTCTTACGGAACATGACCGACATGAATATCCATCTAAAATTCGTCACATTTTCGTCGGAATTTTGACTGACGTAATTTGTCCTCGAAAATTCGTCGGAAATTTTTGACGAATTACCTACGAATGATATTACGTCGGAAATTTCCGACAGATTTCTGACGCATATCACTTTCGTCAAAATTTCATCAGAAATCCGTCGGAAATTTCCGACGAAATATTACCATAGGAAATTCTGTCGGAAATTTCCGACGGAATATTACCATAGGAAATTCTGTCGGAAATGCTCCTGTTTTCTTGTAGTGGGATGGACTTCGAATACCATTTGTAAGTCAGTCAATTTTAGACATATAATGAATTTGGTTGACAAAAAAAAATTGTTTTGCATTGAGTCATAATATAAGTTAGAAAAACACAAAATAAAATATGTAAGTCGATACATTTAGATATTGTTATAAATATGCCAGAATAACTTTGACTGTAATAACATTTATACCAAATAATTATGATATCAAATAGTTTAAATCATGCGAATATACACAAAAATCTCAATATCTTTGACTAATTTTTTATTAGCAAATAAAAAAAGATCAATTTACGGTAAAAATATTTATAGTAAAATATGATGAGTAATTTCGTAATTTACCAGGAAAAACATTCCTCATATAAATATAGCTTTTCATGAAGAACTACAACATTACAGAAATAACTCTATTTTTCAATAGAAATAATACTAAAACAATGAGTATCACAAAACATCTTGTTACATTTTTTCTTGTAGTAATTAATATTCGCAATTTCAATGTCAAAGAACGATGGTTTGGCGGAAGCTTTCGCATGTATGTTGTTTCTTACAAACATAATTCATATTGTTATTTTTTATTTATTTTTGATAATTTAATAGCAATAGTTGAACAACAATTTTTCTGAAATTGCATATTTTTTTTTTTTGAAGGGGATGTCAAATTTATTCACGAACAAAAAAAACATTGTCTGTTACATCAAGTGCATCCTTAAATTTAAATTTGAACAAAGAGAAAACATTTCATGAAAATTTTAGTGTCTTGTTGCGAGCCAGATGGTGTGATCTTCTTCAAATCTGTTGTCTTTGCCTTGGATAGTGCTGATCCTGTTTCCCACTGTTTCTGCATATTGAATTGATAATAGCCATTAATCTTGGACATTGAGTATGTAATAATTATTATTTAAGTCTTAGTATAGATTATACGTAAAATCAAAATATTAATGTATGATTGTATATGTGCAGACCCCGAAAACTGCCTTGGTATTAAATGTGGGTTCCGTCAAGATGGATCTAGGTATGGAGCTTATGAATGCCAAAAAGATTGTCAAGGAAAAGGTTTCCATAATGGAGCGTGTTGGATTGTTGGTCCTCAAAATGCTCAATGTTGTTGCAATAAATAAGAGAAAGATTCTCCTTAATGATTTTGCAATTTGTATGTTGAATTATATTTCTTTACTTTTCAATTTTCTTGAGTAACGAATCTAATGAAATAAAAAAATAATTTATTAAAATACTTATTTACATCAATCGTACGTCGGTTCAATTTGTTTACAAAAAGTAAAATCAAAATAAGGTTATGTGTGGAGTAAAGTTAAAAAAAAAAAAAGACAGTTGTTATCTATTATGAAGACAAAGCGTGTATACATGATTAGTGTTGTACGTTGTGTTTCAAGTTTGTTTTAAAGTGAATCAACGGACATGCATTTGTTTCAAGTTACAATTTTTAAGTTATATGCAGCAGAAGTGCTACCACTTAACAAAGTCGAGCTTAAATGATTAGAAAAACACTATAGTGAATCCTTAAATGTTTTGTTCGCTCCATGAAGACATGATCAACTGCCAATTGAATCGCGAATTTATTGTCAAAGGAAACCGGCATCGATTGAACCTGATCAAGACTAATATCTATAAGAAAACATTTCAACCAAAGAAGCTCTTGAGTTATGAAATCCATGACCCTATATCCTGCTTCCGCAAATGATTAACTAACTATTGAATTTTTTTGTGTCTTCTAAGAAATCAGTGAGTTGCCTAAATATATGAACTCGCTCGTAGTTGAACGCGTGGATATGGGGGCAAGTAACCCAATCTATATAACACAATCCATATAAATGCATATCATAGTTTGATCAGGGTAACATACATTGGCCATAATTAGAAATTAAGTAGCAAACAGTCTATAGAGCCGTTATCTAGTGATTGATTCTCAAATCATTTATATATTGAGAAAGAACGTAAATGCTATAAAAACAATTCAGTGTGCGTAACAACCAAATATATAAGTCGACCCATTATCTTTAGATTACCTGTACAAGCAGGTCTTTTTTTAATATATATTTTTGAAATTTTTTTATCATTCCCTCACTACAAGAAATATGTCTATTGATAGCACATTTTAATAGCGAAATATTTGTAACTGCTATTAAAAATCATTTGGGAAACTGGGTACTCTGATATAGCGTTTTAAAAATGCTAAACTGTAAAAAAATGGGAGCGGAAACAAAAAGAGCATTGGTTCGCAGAAAACACTTATGCCCACCAACACTTAGTAAAAATAACAATGTTTTAGACAAAACCTATAACATTCTGTCTAATAAAAATAAAAGATTTTGTCGGGTGAACAAAAAATAGAAACTTCTAGGGTTATCGAGATCTCCTCGGCAACAATATCGAATTTATCCAGCCGATTCCTCTCACGTCTCCGATACCCTCATTGTCGGAAATCACTATCACCTTCAGTGTCGTTTTTGGGATTTGCTCGTGCTCATCGTCAGATTGATTCCTGTTCGAATTCCATTCCCGATTTTGAGATTCGTACGCTTTACTGAAAGTTTCCGGTGATTGAGGAAAAATCGGTTGTCAAATTCAGCTGAAACTAGACGACGCAAATGCAAAGATATCCCCGATTCACACTTCAGAAACCCTAAATGTAATTCCATCATTCGATTTTATTTAATTCTTATACTTGTTTTACTTACTTTACTTTCATTCTCATGTCATGACATTGCGGTTTTGAAGCTGAAGAGAAACCAAAAGACGGCGAACGAACCTCAATCAGGTCTGATTTCATCGATAATCAAGGTAAATGTAACTCGTTAATCAGTTTAGGGGTTAGCCAGACTTATTTGAAAACTCGTTGATATTGAAATCTCCTTTGTCTTTAGGAGTACTTTTAGAGTGTTTGTTTAGGTTTGAGTTGTTTTGCTAACAATTTTCATTAAGGTTGGAGCATAAAATGGTGGACAAGGCATGGGTTCACCTATGCAGGTATCAATTTAGAAACATTTGTTTTCATTAGATGTGATTCTAGATAGTTTAGTTGTCTAGTTTTGACCTTTTTTCTTTCATCGACATGCATATGTGATGTGTGTCTGCGTGAGGGTTGTCAAGTTTTACCCTAAATGAAATCAATAGTCGCAAATCCACAGCTGATCGATTCTAGTACTTAGGGATCGAATCCACAGGGAAGGAGGATCTTTCTTGCAAAAGCCTTCAAAAGAAATATCTTGTAAGGAAGTCTAGAACCAGGCGATTTTTGTAAGGGTTTTGGTGGTGTCTTGAAAACGGAAAAACTAATCTTAACGAGAAAATATGAGAATTAAAATGACCTAATAACTAAACTTAATAAAATCGACTAAAAACGAAAAAAACGGCTAAACCTAATTGCTTAAATAAAAATCGATTAAGAGAATGAAAATGATGAACTAAAGCTTGAAATGAAATTTGGGAAAATCAATAGAAAAGAGGTGCTGGATTTCAGGGAAGTTTCTCCGGGGTATGAACAATTCCAAACATTGCTAAAGACTAAATTTAATAAGATCCTAGCTAAAACTTTTCGAACTCGAGTCACGGACATGTGAATACGCCACTGTTGTGGTCATAGACAACTATCTCTCTCAACCCTGACCAGTAGGTTTCCACTCTGGCCCTGGAAGAGAAAATATGCAATATGTTTAAGACTCGTCAGCATTCACAAATCGCCTATAGGTAGGTTTTCACTCCTATATTTGTTTTGCTCTCCCAAACTAGATCTGACACCGGATGAATACTTTCGTATCACCAAGGATCTGAATTAGATTGTAGTTCATGACACTACTCTCATGCATTAAAAGTAAATTCAGAAGAAAAGGTTCTAGAATTCGGCATCAATAGCTCATGGAATCCTCATCGAACATATATAT